TACACACATGGAATACTATGCATCCCTAAAGAATAATGTAGAATTTGCAAAACACCACATAATGGGGATGAACTTGGAGGACATTATGCTGAGTGAAATAAGTCACTCACAGAAGGACAATATTGTATTAGTTCACTATGGTAAAAGCCAAGGGAAGGTTTATCTATGGAAGGAAATTTTCTTTGTTGGTTACCAGGGGTGGGAGGGAAAGGGAGGGAACACTGTTAGATAGGTAGAGATAAGTATTGATTTAGGTGAAGAAAAGGGCAATGTACCAAATGTGAGTGATCAACATGGTGGCATTGAGGAAGAGGAAGATATAGAGAGGTACATGGGAGGTACAAACAACAAAGATGAACCATTTTGCACATGCAGTACTGCGTTGTCAGTGAAGCCACACATGAGTATAGATGGGCAGACAGGCTGAGCTATTATGTATGTCTATGAAGTGGGGAGTGTACCTAAGACCATGTACAGGGTTGGCAGACAGTGGTCCTATATGGGTATTTGTATGATCTGTAAGAATTCCCAGGTGTATAGTAGAGCTAACAGGGGACGGAACAAAGTTGTCGTCACTTCTTGGTCACAGCCAGCTACCCAGAGGGACTGAGTAGTTGAACCTGTGGGCTTGGGACCATAGTCGCAGGGGACATCAGGCTCAATTGACATAACATACTACACGAAACATTGTTCTACCACCTACTTTGGCGAGTAGTGACTGGGATCTTAAAAGGTTGCAAGCAGCCATCTAGATGCAACGATGGGTCTCTCCACGTTCAGAGCAAAGAAGAATGAAGGAAACCAAAGATTCATGGAAACAATTAGTCCTAGCGACTGGTACACCATGCGATCCGCAGCCTGTATGACTATGAGACCAGAAGAACTAGATGGTGCCCAGCTACCACTGTCAACCATTCAGAGGGGGATCTATGTAGGAGATCCTGGATAAAGAGGGAGAACAATGTGGAACAAAAGTAAAAATCTTTTGGGGAAATAAAAAAAGGGGTGGGACCAGGTTTGCTGGTCTGATAGAGCCTGGTGGAACCATTGAGACTGTGGTCCCTAGCTGCCCTTCACGTCTGGAATTGAACCCACACCTGTGACTTCCAGCCAAACAAAAGACAGGCATATGAGTTGAACATTTACCTGAGGTAGATACACTCCTTGGAGAGAACAATCATGGAAGAATAGAAGGGCTGTGTATGCACAGGTACATAGCTCAGGGGGCAGGAGTGTATGGAGGGATGGACACAGGGAAGAGGTAACTGTGGGGAAGAAGTGGAAGGGGAGCTGTTGCATTGTGGTAAACTGTGGTCAATGTCATGAGACAAAGTGTATGTGAAGTGCTATATGGAAAGTGAATTTGCTCTGTAAAATTTCACCCAAATTGCAATAAAAATAAATAAATAAAAAGAATTGTCCTATGAAATGCCTTTTAGTCTGAGGTAGAATTGTTTAATGTTTTGTTGTGGTTGTTAGCTGCTGTCCCATCAGTTCTGTCTCATGGTGACTCCACGTGTGCAGAGTGGAACTGCTTTGTAGGGTTTTCAAGGCTGTAACCTTTCAAAAGTAGGTCACCAGGCCGGTCTTCTGAAGCACCTCTGGGTGGGTTTGAATGGCCACCCTTTTGGCTGTAGGTGAGCTCTTAACCTTTGGCACCACCCAGAGGCTCCGTCTGTCATTATCCAGGAGGCTAACGTTGACACTGTGTGTTGATTTCCAGTGAGGAGTAAGTTACAAGGAGAGATCTGTGAAGTTACTATGCTAGGACGGAACACTGGACTTTTTTTTTTAAAAGGTCCTTCTCTTCTGTAATAACACTGGGCATGATGGGGCTTTTATGCATGTTTCTTTTTTTTTTTTTTTAACTTTTAGGTAATTGGCTAAGTGAGATTTGGTCATTAAAGTCAATGCTTTGGAAGCTTTCACACTCACTTGTCAGAGTGTGGTTGGAATTCATGGAGCCTTATTGCTTTTTAGGTTACCCTTGTTATGTGGTTTTTGCTTAAACCGCAGCCTACTATCACAGGATTTCAGGTCTTAATGCCTCTGAATGTGTTCAGGTGCTGTGCCTGTGCAATAAAAATTGCATGGCTACCCTCCTGCTCCGTAGACGTTCACACTGTCTGCCTGACCCTCATGAGTCAGGATGTCCGTTGGTAAGGTGGATTTCCTGCCGCAGAAGGCACACGGAGCAGATTTCATTGCTCTTCTCTCCTTTTGCACGTGCAGAATTAGACTGGCTGAGCAACCCGAGCTTCTGTGTTGGAATCATAACGCCATCGAGCCAGCAGCCTGAAGAGGTCCCAGGCCTTGTTTCTGAGGAGCCACCCCTGACAAGGTAGTGTTTTTGGCAGAAGGGGTTTAGTCTTTGTCAGGGTACCATCAGTAGCTGAGTGTACATGAGTTCCTTAGGAAACTCGGTGATGCAAGAGCCGGGTAAAACCCTCTCACTTAAAGTAGCCAGGTGCTCTTTCACCGACTGTCTACCCTCCCTCCCTCTTGTAGATTAGTTCTTTTCTCCCTTTGCATTGCAGTGGCAAGTACATGACACAGTTAGTGCCTGGAGGTAGGCCATGAGGGAACAGCATCATTATGATTCTAAGTAACTTCACTAACCTCATTAGTAGTAACCTTTAGAATAATATAATTCAGGTATTTCCTTGGTGGTTATTTTCAACACTTTTGTAAAAATAGAAGGAGCTTGTAAAATGTAGCATGGCATAAAATCACGTGAAAACTTTGGGGAGAAAAATGGTACCCCCTCTACCTCTGATGGGATTTTGTTGTAGATCACGGAATTGAGAAACAAGCTGTCGCGGAAGCACACTGGGTGGTCTCCTTAGTGTGATGGGGCCAGCTGAGCTCTGCACTGTGAGAGCATTGAGCCTGGGAGGTTGAGAGGAGTTGGTACCTGAGGGACAGTTGTTTATAGACACTTCACTAGTGAAGACCAGCTTATTTTAACCCTGAAGAAAAGGACCAGAATTCATTCTTTTTTAAAACAAACACATGAAAGACATGCTGGCATACTATGTAAGACTGAAAATAAATCTCTTACAAAGCTGCTTTTATAAGTATTGTATTTGATCAAATAACTGATAGAATACTTTCATTTAAAGATACATAAATTTGAAATTTTAGGTGTAGAGACTATTGCAGTTAGAATTTCTTTGCCTGTTTTTGTTTTAGTTCAGCTCTTAATGTCTTTACAGTGAATTGTAATCTAGAAAAGTACTGTATACTCAGCGGACAAACAGTTAATACATGGGAGCAGAGATCACGTGTCCTGTTATGTTTTGGGTAGTCATTTAGTTATTTCCCTTACCTTTTTGAAAACTGTTAAAAGCTGATTTTCCCAAACAGGAGTACTTTGAAATCAGACCCTTCAGACGAAAATGACACTCACAAAAAACTCAAACACACAAGCAGAAAAAAGAAGAAAGAGAAAAAGAAAAAGAGGAAACATCAGCACCACAAGAAAACCAAGAGAAGACGCGGCCAGTCGAGTAGCAGCACATCTGAGCCAGACACTGACGCTGAAAGGAACTGGTCTCCTAGAAGCATCAGTAAAAAGGAATCTGAGAAGCCAAAGTAGGTGTCTGCTCTCAAGTAGCTGTGATATTTTAAATCTTGAATTCCCTTTCCTTCATTGCACTGGAGGCATAGTGCCTAAAGCATTAGACTGCTAACCAGAAAGCTGGAGGTTCAAGCCCACCAGCCACTCCTTGGAAGGAAGATTGGGCAATCTACTTCCGTAGTGATACCGGCTCGGAAACCCAAAGAGGGGTTGCTGTGAGTCAGATCCGACTCAACGGCAGTGTGTTGAGTTTGTTTTTTTTTCCTTGTTGCCACAAGTTAGACTTCTGAATGATGATTTAGCCAGTTAGAGTGAAGCAGCACCAGCTCTGCATAAAAGGTAAGAGAACTTTCATAAAAAACTAGGGTCAGGATTTTATC